CAGCCAACCCCCGGGCAGGAACAGCCCCTTCCAGTGACCCCGACCCTGCCACCTCCTCCGCTGGCTGCGGACTACATCTCACCCCTCCCTCCAGGTGCTATTTTGGTGAGAAGGTGGCCCTGTACTTCGCCTGGCTGGGCTGGTACACCCGCCTGCTGGGCATCGCTGCGCTGGCTGGGCTGCTGGTCATTTCAGCTCCAGCCAGGTGAGGTAAGGCAGCTGGGAACGCCAAACGCACGTCTCCCCGACGAGCCTTTGAGCCAGCGACTCCCCTTTGCTCCCCTCTGCGCCCCTCTCTCCAGCAAGGAGATCTGTGAAGCCAACGACACCATCATGTGCCCGCTCTGTGACCAGAAGTGCCCGTTCTGGCTCCTCTCTGACACCTGCACCTACGCCAAGGTAGGCACCCCCTCCCCAGACAGGCTCCGTGCAGAGGGTGGGGAAATGCTCCCGGGTTTGTGCTGTTCCCACACCACCAGACAGAAGAGCCCCCAGCAGGAAACCTCCACTCACCTCTAACAAGGTACAGCCAGACCACGGTCTCCATCCCCACCGAGGGGAGTTCACCACTAACGGGTCCCAGTGCCCAGCCCCGTCCTGCATTTTGCCCCCTCCCTGTCTCGGGGGGACAGGAGGGCAAGGGGACCGCTGAGCACAGAGGCCTCTCCCCAGCCCACGAGGTGCCACAGCCCCTGCACCCCAGTCCCCATCACACTCCCCCTGATCTTCTGCAGGTCACTCACATGATCGACAACGCGGGGACGGTTCTGCTCGCCATGTTCATGGCAATCTGGGGTAGGTGTCCACGTCCTGGTGCTGAGCACAGCTTGGAAGAGGGATCATCCCACTGGGGCTTAGGGGTAGAGCAGGTGGAGGAAAACAGGCCACCAACACAGCTCCACTGTTCAGGGACCTTTTAGTTCTTATTTCCTTCACTTCCAGGGCCACCAGCTCCCATTGCAGACAAAGCAAGGAACCAAATCAGCCCAGCAATTTCCTTCAGCTCCCCAAACACTCCTTACCTGTCCTGCCTGAAAGCTTTTCCTCCTTCATGCCCTGCAACCTCCTGCAAAGCACCCAGCAGCTTCTCTGGCTGGGATTTTCTAGCAGCTGCCTGTAAGTGGTGGCAGCTGCACGAGGAGGGACCACCAGATCCCTCACTAACCTCCCCAGACAGCTGCACGCTCTCTGAGCTGCTGTGCAACAAGCACGTCAGAGCTCTGGGCTCTGAGCTGGTGTGACCCCATCACCGTGTCAGGGACACATCTCACCTGGCTCTGCTGCAGCCACCACGGGGGCGAGGGCTGGGTGTTCCACCTGTGAGACCACGGGCTGAGCAGGTCACGGGCACGGTCCTGCTCGTCCCTGTGGGTTGGTTTGCACAGGGACAGGCTCAGGAGATCAGTCCAGAGGAGCTGGAGGGGTGGTTATAGATGGACTTGCAGCAGTGCAGCCACGCTCGGGTGCAGTACAGGACACCGACACCACATAAAAGTGCATTTTCAGTGAACCCAGAATAACACATCTGGCTGGCACTGCACAGACGTGCCCCCCAGCAGAACAGCCCTGGGCCTGGCTCTGGTTTGTGCCCAGTCCAGTGGGGACACCAGAGCTGGCCTGGCTGGCAGTGCCAACTCACCCTCACGCCTCCAGCCCGTCCCTCGCGGGGCCGACACCCGGCGCTGTGTGCCCAGGGCCCGTCCTGGTCCCCGAGACACAGGGGTGGCTGAGGGTCCTCCAGGGGCAGCTGCGGGTCCTCCAG